AGGGGGTTGGAACCAAGGATAAGGCCCTTTCAGGATCTTCAGGGACACAGACAGGAGTATCTCCTGCTGGGTCCCTGTGTAAGCAGGACTCTGGTGACTGTGGCTGCGATGGGCTGGAGCCCAGTTAGAGGGCCCTTTCATAATCTATAGTCTGAATGAGTTTGGCAGTCTAACCTCCAGGGGCTCCTATACTGCAGACATAGGGACTGGAGCTGGTTCAGGGTCCATAGCTGGACTAAGGTATGTATATCTATTACCTGACAAACGGGTGGGCATGACTCTTTCTGGGTCCTTTGGTGTATGGTGCTAGTAACAGACCCAAAGCCAAATGGGGTTGTAGCTGAGTTCTCAGGGGGTACTGAACTGTTTACAGGTCTATAGCCAGGACCAGTTAGTGAGTAAGCCACCAGGATGTGAGCCTGCCTTCTCAAAATGACTCTCCTCAGTCTTGGACTACACCAGGATTTCACAGTTTTCTATCTGGATCCCAAAGCTCCCACAAACACACTTTTGTCCATGGATGGATGCTAAATTATTATTTTTGATGGGGCAATACACATGAGGGATATTTTATTCTGTCATCTTGCTGACATCATGCCAATTTTTATATTTTAATTAAAAACACAAATACAAAATCTAGATTCCAGTACCCTTTATATTTAAAGATGGGTCTTAAGAGGAGAAGGTAGAGACTAAAGTAATAGATTTGGACCTCACTGGCATTTGAAATCATGGAAATAGATAAGATTGCCCAGGGAAATATATAGAGCAAAAAGAAGAGAAAGCTAGAGTACACTATCATCCAAGGAATAGGCAGATGGTGGAATTGGTGAAAGAGACTGTTACTTTGTCATTTTTAGACCTTGCTTCAACCTAAAAAGGATTTGAAATAATTTGTATAATACCACAGTGTTAAAAGAAAACTAAATATAAAAATCAAGGCTATAGGGATGTAAGGATAATGTAGGAAGATGAAGCCTTTGATTAGGATAGAAATTCTTATTACATGGTCTTGCACATTTGTTAAATATAGGTACAGATTAGGCTTTGGAATTCCTAGTAGTAGTCAAGTCATTGTGGAAATGTGATCAGTTTGAGATTCAGACTATTCATTTAAAAAACAGTTCAATTGTTCAAAAGCAGCCCTAACAGGGTCCTCCCTGAGTTTTGGGGAGGTGAGTTCCTAGAGAACAGGACTTTGCATGAGGGCAGACTGGGCAGGAGATGCCGTGGACCCCACTCTTGGGGAGTGTTCTGAGAGATGCCTCCCTAGCCAGAGCTTGGAACAGACTCAGAGCCAGCAAAGTGAGTTCAATGGCTGAGGTGAGGTGAGGTATCCTACCTCATAACCCAATTCAGACTACTTTCTTCTGTCCTCTCTGAAAAAAAGAAATAAAGGAAGAAAGGAGGGAGGGGAAGAAGGGAGGAAGGAAGGAAGGAGTGAGGAGCCCAGTTCTGTTGTTTAGGATAAGCAGAGGTTTTTTCCTCGTAATGAGATTTGAGAGAAATTTCTCCCCTGAGTTCCCATAAAAGGGGAATTATGCAGTGTGGTAGTCAGTTATCTTCAGTGGCCTCCCCAAAATAAACACAATATATATATTACTTCTCCTTAAAACATCTTTCAATGCAAGCCATGGCTATAAAACATTATTAAAATGTTTCTATGAGGGGCTAAAACAAAGCAGTTTAAATATGTACCTCTCTAATAGTGTTTGTTGTGGATGACTTCTTTTAGGCAGCCAAAGATATTAAAGTGAAAATAGGTCTTTCTTAAACCAACCGCATAGGTTGATTGAATTGACTCAATACCAGATATGTATAAAAGAAAAGACTCCATTTGCTGGTAACATGGGTACTGAAGGAAATAGAGGTACCAGCTTCTTGTTTCTCCTAATCTTCCATTCTAGACATTCATGAAGACTAGTATTGTTGGCAACAGATGAGATAGGTTAAGCTGGTCTCTGCTAAAGTCCCTCTGTGGAGTATATAAGAAATGTGGTATGCTAATTTCATCTGAAACTGGTGACTCAGACTTAGTTTTCTAATAGGTATTTCCCTCTTCCCTGGACCATTTCCCCAAGAACTGAGAGATTAATTAGCAAATGTGCATTTAGAGGAATAAGAGTTTGTTTTGGGCTCAACTCTTTTATTTTGCAAAAGGGGACAGAGTTTAGAATATTAAATTAAAACATTCAGAAGATTCAGATCTGCTGACCAGTACAATACTGTTATCCTTAGTTTTTTTCTCAGTATAAAAGCATTTGTGAAAACTGTTCTTGTTTTCTCATCTGCTAAGATGAGATAATCATTTTAGTATCTTTAAATAAATTTCCCCATATAGTATGTCTTGATTTAGAAAATTTACAGAATTCTGAGGAACATAAGGACTATATATTTTTAGAAAATTTTCAATGAATATTATTTCTTGAAACTAAGTATTTGATAAGAATTGGGTAAAAAGAGGATCTAAAAATATATTTCCTATAATGAACCTGGATTGAACATTTTCATTGTTGTAGATTAGAATTGGCAGACTTTTTTTTTTTTTAAAGATTTTATTTATTTATATGACAGAGAGACACAGCGAGAGAAGGAACACAAACAGGGGGAGTGGGAGAGGGAGAAGCAGGCTTCCCGTAGAGCAGGGAGCCCGATGTGGGGCTCAATCCCAGGACCCTGGGACCATGACCTGAGCTGAAGGCAGATACTTAACGACTGAGCCACCCAGGCGCCCCAGACTTTTTTTTTTATTAAGGGCCAGATAGTAAATATTTTAGGCTTTATGGGTTATACAGTCTCTGCTGATACTCAACCCTGCTGTTGTAATGCAAGAACAACTTTAGACACCATATAAATGAATGACTGTGGTCTAATAAAACTTTATTTGTGGATATTATAGCTTGAATTTCATATAATTTTAATGTCATGAGATATTATTATTTTGACTTTTCAATAATTTTAAAATGCAAAAATTATTCTTAGCTCACGGGCCATACAAAAACAGGTGGCAGGTTAAATTTGGCCCATAGGTTAACAAAAGTCAAATGAGAAGGAAGAGTTAATATCCTTTTGCAAGAATCAACTGTCCACTAAAGACTTGTGCCCAAAGAGGTGACGATCCACCTCTACCTGAGTTGGACTGGAGGAGCTCCTCCAAACAGTGCTGAAATTTTCTTCATAAAATAGTTACGGAGTATATAAGAATGATTGTGGGGGCACCTGGGTGGCTCAGTTGGTTAAGCATCTGCCTTCGGCTCAGGTCATGATCTCAGGGTCCTAGGATCGAGCCTTACATCGGGCTCCCTGCTCGGCGGGAAGCCTGCTTCTCCCTCTCCTACTCCCCCCGCTTGTGTTCCCTCTCTCGCTGTCTCTCTCTCTGTGTCAAATAAATTAAAAAAAAAAAAATGATGGTGAGCCCAGAGTTCTAACACATAAAACATGACTTCTTATCAAAATGTCAGCTTAGAGAGTTGAAAATTTAAAAAGCAGAGTTATAGAGGTAGGTGAACTGGGGAGAGTAGAAACTGAAAGCCTCAGTGAGGATAAAGATCAGGAAGTCATTGGAAGAACCAGGTTCTCATTGTAGTTTTGATTTGTGTTTCCCTGATGATGAGTGATGTTGAGCATCTTTTCATGTATCTGGTGGTCATCTGTATATCTTCTTTGGAAAAATGTCTGTTCATGTGTTCTGCCCATTTTTAATTGGATTATTCATTTTTGGGTGTTGAGTTTTATAAGTTCTTTATATATTTTGGATTCTAACCCTTTATCAGATATGTCATTTGCAAATATCTTCTTCCATTCTGTAGGTTGCCTTTTAGTTTTGTTGTTTCCTTCATTGTGCAGAAGCTTTTTATCTTTTTATTTTGATGAAGTCCCAAATATCAACAACAGAAACAGCAGGTGTTGGCAAGGATGTGGAGAAAGGGGAACCCTCCTGCACTGTTGGTAGAAATGTAAGCTGGTGCAGCTACCCTGGAAAACAGTATGGAGGCTCCTCAAAAAGTTAAAAATAGAACTCCCCTGTGATCCAGCAATTGAACTACTAGGTATTTACTCAAAGAGTACAAAAATACTAATTCAAAGGGATACATGCACCCCAATGTTTATAGCAGCATTTTCTACAATAGCCAAATTATGAAAACAGCCTAAGTATCCATCAACTGATGAATGGATAAAGAAGATGTGGTACCTATATACAATGGAATATTACTCAGCCATAAAAAGGAAATCTTGCCATTTGCAATGACATGGATGGAGCTAGAGAGTATTATGCTAAGCGAAGAAAATCAGAGAAAGACAAATACCATATGACTTCACTTATATGTGGAATTTAAGAAACAAATGAACAAAGGGGGATAAAAGAGTGAGGGAGGCAAACCAAGAAACAGACTCTTAACTATAGAGAACAAACTGTTGGCTTCCAGAGGGGAGAGAGGTGGGAGTATGGGTTAAATAGGCGATTTAACCCATAGGTTAGGAGGATTAAGGAGTCCACTTGTTGTGAGGAGCACTGGGTGATGAATGAAATCACTATATTGTACACCTGAAACTAGTATCACACTGTATGTTAACTAACTGGAATCTAAATAAAAACTTAAAAAAAAACTCCTAGGTTCTGCAGTATCAATTAGGATGAGAAATAAAAAGAGATCACTGAATTAGACAATTAGATCATTGGTGACCTTGGGAAGGGCAGTTTCATTTCCTTTTTTTTGGTGGGGGGAAAGGGCAAGTTTCTTTGGAATGGTGGGAGTAAAAGTTAAATTGGAGAGGATTAAGGAATGAGTAACTCAGGTAGTGAAGAAAAAGAGGAAAGAGTTGAAAAGTGTGATGGAGTAAAGGAAAATTTGAAAGGCAGAGAGTATTGAGGGAAACAGGGATAAGTTGGCATTTGACTTGCCTTTTATGTTTAACTTGTTAGACTTTAACAGGTGACACTTAGAAAGTTTTTAGATATATTCTTGTTATATTGACATCATTTCTTTTAATTTTAACAGAAAAATGTACCATGGTTATATATGTCAGTATAAGGATGTTTTGAAGCAATATCAGTTAAAATACTCAGAAACACCCCTTTCACATGAATATTATGAGAAGAAAAGAGAACATGAAGAAATTCAAAATAGAGTGTTGGCAAGTACTGAACAACTAAAAATGAATGAAACTATCTTTATGGAATTTCTAGGTATTAATATTTTTGTTATATGTTGTTTAAATAATGGTATCTATTTATAATGAAAAGAATAATGAATCAAACTAAAATATGATTTTGTTTTTCAGTGCCTGCTCCTTTTCCATCACTTGCTAAATGGACATTACATATGTATCCACAAAATATTTCTACCTAGAATTTTTATTATAAGTATTGTTTCTGTATTTTAATTGTTATTATGATTCCCTGGTAAGAAACAAATTGATTTGGGGTTTTTTTGTTTGTTTAATTAAAAAAACCAGTGGTTACTTTAAAGATCTTTTGGTGATGCAGAAGAGACTGTTTCCAACCCTCTGCCTCAGAGCAGAGAGATCGCAGCCTGAAGGAAGGGAAAAATGAAGGGGGGGACATCAGAGGGAGAGATGAACCATGAGAGACTATGGCCTCTGAGAAACAAACTGAGGGTTTTAGAGGGGAGGGGGGGATGGTTAGCCCAGTGATGGGTATTAAGGAGCGCACATACTGCATGGAGCACTGGGTGTTATACGAAAACAATGAATCGTGGATCACCACATCAAAAACTAATGATGTATGGTGACTAACATAATAAAATAACATTAAAAAAATTAAAAATTAAAAAATTTAAAAAAGGTCATTTGGGATTAGTTTTCATATATGTGCATGTGATGAGAAGCAAGCAATTTTAATGAGAATAAAGTGGTATATGTGTTGACTTTAGCAACCAAACCAATGAAAAAGTCATCTTGCTCTGTCTTACCAAAGAAAGAGTTCCAGTTAAATCAGGATGGAAGGTGGTGAGGAGGTGAGTCACAATTATCTACTCATCTACAGAAATTCATTGGGTACCTACCTTGTGCCAGGTAATCCTTGAGAAGTTACAGAGCTTTTTGCAAGGAGCTCACAGTTTAGTAGGGGAGACAGACATGTAAACAATTAATTCTAATACAGTGGCATTGTATTAGATGATTAAGTAATTCTTAATTGGTCTAAGTCTCATCTGTTTGTCCAAGAGATCTTCCCTGATGGTGAACTTAGAACTTTAATCCTCTTCCAACCTCTACAATCCTTCATATGCTTTCCTATCAGATTATAACTCCACTGTTTATACTAAATCTTCTTTATCCCTGCATTCTACCTTACTTCATTCTGCTTCATCCTAAATCATCCTTTTAACTCCTTTGCTGCTTGCTCTCTTCATGTTTAGGTTTTAGTTTATTCTGTTTTTAGTTGTTTATTTCCTGCCTATCTGTGTTGTAACTTCTCAGTGGGAAGAGGCAGAGGTTGGTTGATGCACGAGGTATAGCAGAAATTTAGGAAGTTTGATGTAGGAAGGGATGAGATACAAGATTATGTGAGAAACAAGAAGAGGTGATGGAGGTAGGGAAAATTGAAGATTAAGATTTAAATGTCTATATCTAAAAATTTTAATTGATACTTACTTTTATAACAATATAGCATCATAAATAATGTTCGTCTGAAATTTTATGTTCTAGCATATATATTATGTATTTTAAGGCAGAGTAGGAATTATTCTGTCTTAAGTAGACAGATTTTCTCTGGAGTTCTTGTTCACTACTACTATTCTATTAATTTTTAAGTTCTCCTAAATGGTTTGTAGAGTAACTTAGGAAATTGTAGTAGTTAATAACTATGCAGGATGTCTGTTAACAGCTGAGAAATTCTGTACTTGAAATTGGGTATATGGGTGCCTGGGTGGCTCAGTCATTAAGCGTCTGCCTTTGGCTCAGGTCATGATCCCAGGGTCCTTGGATCGAGCCCCGTGTCAGGCTCCCTGCTCAGCGGGGAGCCTGCTTCTCCCTCTCCCCCTGCTTGTGTTTCCTCTCTCACTGTCTCTCTCTCTCTGTCAAATAAAATCTTAAAAAAAATCTTTGAAATTGGGTATAAATCTAGTTCAAGCAGAAAGCCCAGATAGAAGATCTAGCTGTCTTCTGAGTCCTGCAGGCTGCACTGATGAAACTTACAGAGCAAGAAAAGGGAAATTGGGTGGATTTAATTAATTAATTAATATTTTTTAAAGATTTACTTATTTATTTATTCTTAGGGGTGAGGTTCAGAGGGAGAGAGAGAATCCCAAGCAGACGCTCTGCTGAGCGCAGAGCCCTCCTGTAGGCTTAATCCCATGGCCCTGAGACCACAACCTGAGCCAAAATCAAGATTCAGACACCCAGCTGATTGAGCCACCCAGGCACCCTGGTTGGATTTTTAAATGTCGACTTTGGAACAAATAAACAATGGAAACACAAGAAGTTAAATTTGGACCTGAATTGATTATGTATTATTAGTCATGCCAAATGACATGATGAACTTGGGTAAAAAAACAAAAGCAAAAAACTACTATGTGAAATATTTAAGTAAAAGAAAAAATTCTAACATTTTTTGGATGAAAAGTTTTTAAGCTCAATGTATAACATAGGTAAGCAATAAATTATCTTTGTCAGTTTGCCAAATGTTTACATTAGTTTTACCTCTATTTTCAGATACTGTTATTAATATTGCTTATTGTTTATATGGAACATATATAAAGTTACATAATATTAACTATTTCTGATATGGTACATATATTACAAATGTAAAATTTACTTGCATAACATAGTTCCTTAACATAAAAGGGCTAACGTGAGATGTAAAACACAAGATATTCTTAAACATGCCAGCAATTATTCCAAAAGTTCATCTGAATTGAAGGAAGAAGTAGATGAAGTGGAAATAGAGATTAATTATTTAAACCAGGTATGTATTTTGTAATATGTTTCTATAAATGTACTAATGTATAAGTATAATGCTATGTTAACTGACAGTCTTAGAAGAGCTATTTCTAAAGAGCCTAAATATGGAGAAAGACTTAAGAAAATTTATTTACCTCAGATTACCTTTGGAGCCAATATGTGTTTTAGGTACTGAGCATATTTAGTTATGAGTTTTAGGGAATAGTTTTTCTTTGGCAGCTGAAAAAAGATAAATAAAGTAAAAGATATAGCTTAATAACAGGAACTTAAAGGCACTAAAAGGGCTACAACAGTGTTGTCAAAAAAGAGAACAAGACAGTAAATTGTTTAAAGAATTTAATCTTGAAAATCTATGGCTGTAATCTGTATAGAACTAGGCTAGAACTAGTTTAGCCTTTAAGATTGATGGTGCATATTTTCTTGAATACATTTTTACTGTCCTCTACTGAAATGGCTTTCATTGACTGAAAACCCATCAAAGTTATTTCCAAATTCTGAGAAAAAAATTGAACAGCTAATTTTCTGAATTTTTTGAAAGTTGTGTTAAATATATTAACCATTCATAGGCATAAGGTTCCAAATAACAATAAAATCGTTTTAATAATAACACAGTAGATGCTACTTCCTTTAAACTATATGGTAACTATGTCTATATATAGGGAATTGATATCTACTTTGCTTCTGAACTTTTTAAAAAAGAAGAGGTTTGCTAATGGAGTTGTAAGGAAAAGTTAAAGGAGTATGATTTATTGTTAATTTTGACCCGGTTTTAGCAACTTTCACTAAAAGATAGCTGATGCCACAAAAACATAAATCCTGTGATTATATAGAAAAACTCATATTCACTAGTTAAGATGAAGCATATGTTCCTTAATGCTTCACAGATAATTATTTTGTTTTGCTTTGTCATTTTTCTTTTTAGCAGATTGCAAGACTCCATGAAACTAAGAATCTTGCAGAAACTCTGGAAGAAAAAAATAAAAATATAGAAAAGATAAAGGAATTGAAAGAAAGGTATAGGTAAACTTTATTTTTTATAAAGATTTTATTTATTTAGTTAGAGAGCATGCACGAGTGGGGGGGAGGGACACAGGGAGAAGGAGAGAATCTCAAGCAGACTACACACTGAGCATAGAGCTGAACCTGTGGCTCCATCTCATGATCCTGAGATCATGACCTGAGCCAAGATCAAGAGTTGGATGGTCAACTGACCAAGCCACCCAGACACCCCTAGGTAAACTTTAAAATGGGATTTTATGTCAGTAGTTATTCTGCATCTGAGCATTTGATTCTGTATTCTGTATTCTTTTTAAAAAATATTTTATTTATTTATTTGACAGGGAGATAGCGAGAGCAGGAACACAAGCAGGGGGAGTGGGAGAGGGAGAAGCAGGCTTCCCGCGGAGGAAGGAACCTGATGCAGGGCTTGATCCCAGGACCCTGGGATCATGACCTGAGCTGAAGGCAGACGCTTAATGACAGCCACCCAGGCGCCCCGCTATATTCTATATTCTATCCCAAGCCACCAATATTCATATATTCATATGTATATCTATATACATTTTTATGCAGGCTATTTTCTGCTTATTCTTGAAAAATATTGATTTTACCCTTAAATATTATAGATTAATATTCAAATATGCTTGTTATTTAGTAAGGCCAAGGATAATGTGTAGAGAGAAATAAGATAGCAGTAGCACATTTGCTGTCTTATAGCCTGTCATTGTACATTTCATCCAGTTTTTTTTTTTTAATTTTTTTTTTTTAAAGATTTTATTTATTTATTTATTGGAGAGCGAGCAAGAGAGAAACAGCATGAGAGAGGAGAGGGTCAGAGGGAGAAACAGGCTCCCCGCTGAGCCGGGAGCCCGATGTGGGACTCGATCCCAGGACCCTGGGATCATGACCTGAGCCGAAGGCAGTTGCTTAACCAACTGAGCCACCCAGGCGCCCTTCATCCAGTTTTTAATGATGGATCACTAGTAGGAGTAAAACAGAGGAACAGTTGTGGGAACAGCATTGTATTTACCTTTTTATCACCCCTGTCACCAGCTTGACCAGTTCTTATTTTGCCACAGAGAGTGAAGATGAGTCAAAATGCTGCTGAATCTGTGGCCTTGTCTTTCATCCTAATGGTGCTAAAAGAGACATCAGTGGTGGAGGCATTTTAAAAAAGATTGATTTTGTCTGTTATTGTGTGACAGAAAAATAGGTGTATCACTGTTGCTGTTTCTGATAAAATTTCTACTTTTTCTCTTTCTGCCTGTACCTTTTTAAACTCTTCTTAAATTTGTCTCATTAGGCTCCATTGCTCTTGTCCTGATTTTTCAACACATTCCTCTCCCAAGTTAATTTCTCAGACCCACTTCCTTGGATCTGTTATTTCCTTGATCCCCCACCCCCCCACCTATTTCTCACAACCATAATTTGTCTTTAATTCTGTGAAGAAATTGATTAGAATTTCACTTCACTGACAACATTTTAATACTGTAAAAATCCTCTACATTGAGAGGAACTTAAGTAACTGTTAGTCATTTTTACTCAGTGTCTATTTTGATAGTTATTATAAATGATGCCATTATTTAAATTATTTAACTATCAATAATTAAAATTACTTTTTTAATTTAGGAAAAATTCAATGAGTTTTTTCTTCCAGTAAAAAACTTAAAAGACATATTTATGATTATAATATTGCTTTAGTGATTTCTGGATTCATACTAGCTGATTTGTTTCTGAATAGTTATTTTTAAAGTTTGAAGTACTCTGAAATCTACAGCATGCCATTTGTGGATAAAGCTTTGGTTTAAATGTTTTTGACATGTTTAGAAATTTTTTTAAAATGATTATGTTTTAAAAATGAGAGTGTGGTATACTGAGAAGGGTACTAGACTTAATCAGGAAAAGTGTGTTTTAGCTGTGATGCCAGTAAGTAATTTAATAATATTGGGCAGATCTGTTAAATTTTGGAACTCAGTTTTACTGTATGCAAAATGAGTTTAAACTATATAGCCTATAAATATCTCTTCTAGCCTTATTTATACATTACTTTTTTGCTTACTAAATATTTAATGTAATTCACTCTTTAGACTTTTTGAAAAAGATGAACAACCTGCACTTATATTGAATAAAACCCCTCAAAACAGTCAATTATTTCTTCCATATGAATCTCAGAAATTAGACAGACTAATGAAGATGCATTCTTCAGAACCAAGAGTTATAGGTACAGTATCTGTTAATTATTTAAAAACTTAGTTTTCTCTGCAAACACATAGAAGAAATAGAAGCAATTTTGTTATCATTTGGGGTAAGCAAGAACAGACAATACTAGAGACCAGTAGACTCAGGAAAGTACCACTTTCTTTCTGAAAGCAAGCAAGATATGCCTCTTCTCTGTTTTTTTCTTTGAGAGAGAAATCACTCACAAGATATTATAAGAAGTGTTCTGGTCTGGTTGCACAGCTGTCAGAGGAGGATGAATAATAATACATTTTTCATTTGAGAAGTTGTGTTATCAATATGTATAATTAAAGTGGGTAGCAGACTTGTGTTAATATTTGTGACTTAGTCACTAAGATCATGTTTCATTCAATGGATCTGCAGATTAGATTAACTACATTGTATTAGTTTAACCCCATTAGCTGTTCTTTTTCTTCCAGTCTTCTTTGGTTCCTTATTATAAAGATGTAATTTTGTAAGCTGGTTTTCATTTTACATTCATGCTTATTGTAATAACTGTTATATAGTGAGGAATTAAGAGTTATGTAGAAATTTCATATTTCTGTATTTTAATTTAAATTAAATATTCATGTAACTTAATTTTTTAAATTATAAGGTTAGGTTGAATGTTGGGCATAATATTTGATTCTATCTCTGGAATTCATTTGAAGTTGTACAATTTAATAACCTAGATAAAAAAGAAGAAAGTTCCATGAAGCAGGCAAAGCTTGCCAATATTGACTTTAGACAGAAAGAAAACAACATGCAGGTAGGCATTTGTTTTTTAATAGTATAAATTAAATATTTGCTTGCATTAAATGAGATAGTGAATGTACTGCATTTAGAACATGGGTTTGTGTGTGTGTATGTGTTATAAATATATTAACTCAGCCATTACTACAACCTCAAGATCTAAAAATCTTAAAAGAATTTCAGTATGGCAGCCTGAACATATACTGTAGCCTTCTCACTCTTAAAAATAGGAAAGATATTTAAAAATATCAAGCCCAGTGGCACCTGGGTGGCTCAGTGGGTTAAGTGCTGACTTTTGATTTTGGCTCAGGTCATGATTTTGGCTCAGGTCATGATTTCAGGGCTGTGAGATTGAGCCCTGCATTGGGCTCTGCGCTGGACATGGAGCCTGCTTAAGATTCTCTCTCTTGGGGTAGAGAGGATTTGAGAAAAGATGGTGGAGGAGTAGGGGTCCCTATTCCAACTGGTCCCTGGAATTGAGCTGGATATCTACCAGATCACTCTGAGCACCCACAAATTCAGCCTGAGATGTAAGAAGATAGATCTGGATCTCTACAAACAAGAGATCGCAGGTGGTTGGTTTCGAGGTACAAAGTGGGAGCTGTGATTCAGGGGGCAGATACCAGAGGATAAACGGCAGCGGGAGGGAGCCTGGCCATGGGGATCCTACACCGCTGGTGATCAATAGCCTTCCGCGCTGGACACGGGGCACAGACTCGCAGACCAGTAGCGGCAGGGAAAGGACTTTAGACGGAAACCAGAGTGGCAGGGCCAGGCCTGCGAACTGGGGGCAGCTGGCGGTTCTAGAAGCACAAAAGGCAGAAATGTGCCCCGACCTGGACGCAGGACTGGGAGCGCTGTGGAGGGGCGCACAACCCAGGACGCTGCAGTTTATAGCAGCAGGGACAGAAATGGAGACTGTGGCCTGGAGAGCTCACTGAAGAACAGACTGCAATCTCTCTGCTCTGAGGCAGAGGGTTGGAAATGGTCTCTTTTTGCTCTCCCAGGAGAGACGTGGAAAGCTGCCAGGGAAAACGGCAAGAGAACAAAAGCCGCAAAAAACTGGTTCCCACTGAGCCCATCCCCTGCTACAGGGGGGCAGGGCAACTCCGCCCAAACAGGGTTGCCTGAGTAACAGCGCGGCAGGCCCCTTCCCCAGAAGACAGGCTGGGAAAACAAGAGGCCAGCAACCTTAAGGTCCCTAGAAAACAGGTGCATCTTGCTTGGGTTCTGGTCAATAATTTGGACTCTATACATTCCCTCAACCACCCATCAATAGAATGACTAGGAAGAGGAACCCCCAAATAGGAAAGACTCAGAGATTATGACTTATGCCACAGATTTACAAATGGATGCAGATACAACCAAGATGTCGGAGATGGAATTCAGGCTAGCAATTGTGAAGACAATAACTAGAATGGAGAAATCAATTAATGGCAACGTAGAGTCTCTAAGGGCAGAAATGAAAGCTGAATTG